TTTTTCTCAACTAAGTTTGTCATTACTTCGAATAACACACTGCGAGTTTTAAGCAGATAGTTCTACCAGTCTGTGTGGAAGTAAGTCTGACCTCTGACCTTCAGTTTTCCACAGAGGGGGCAGGAGAGGACAGGGATGAGCTGCTGCAGAAGCATAAAAACTACAAACCTGTAGAACCAGAATATTAACAAATAAAACCCAGAAAAACGGAGAAGACTAAAAATGCAGTATAAATAACAATTACTGTATAAATCATGAAATATTCACACGTATATATAAACATCCAGAAACCAGCACATTACCCATGAAACCCACAGACACTGATTTCTGCACCACAGCAGCAGAAATAACAAGAAAAAAGAACCAGTACGAAATAATTTGGCTCATTAGAGTTAAATCTCTACAAGAAAGAACAAAACCAAAAATCTGAGTAAGTAAAATGTTCCACAGGGTGAAGCAGAGAAAACAGCCAATAAAGGATAAACACAAGCTCAGTAAAACTCAAACAGCTCCATAAAAGTAGAACAGAACAGCCGAGAGAGGATGTGCTCAGTTTGGAGAAGCTGCTGTAACAATGCGGACACTGAGTGCTTCAATGCAATGCTGACGTGTCCACATACTTTTGGAGTGTACACAGCTGAGCAGCTGCAGTTCCCAGGTGTACAGAAAAGGGGTGGGGGGTGTCAGGCATGTTGAGGCCTGCCTGATGATGATGATGATGATGATGATGATATTGGTGCTGGGTGTCCTCCAGTTAACGCCTCCAGTTCGTGGCCTCCCCGCTCACACTAGGCACAGACTTTTGTTCCTGGAGGAGGAACTACATCAATAATCTGCTGCAAACATGATCTCCATATCAGGAATCAATATTTTCCCTTCTGTCTGCTTTTTAAAACCCGGGATCACATCTTTCTCCTCCTCTTACTCCTCTTTCTCCTCCACCCCTCCTCCTCTCCCTCCTTGTCCTCCCCCCTGGATCTGACTTCATCACCTTAGTTTGCAACACCTCCCTCCTTTTCTCTCTTCTCCCCCTTCATCTGACTTCATCATCTCAGTTTCTCTCTCCCTGTCTTCCTCCTCCTCCTCCACCCTTCTCTCTCCAGGGCTGCAGATCCCCAGGTGCAGCTGCAGGAGGAGGGGGAGGAGGGAGGCGCAGTGGGGATGGAGGGGTTGAAATTAATGAGGGGAGCCTGGAGGTATTGACTTTCCTGGGAAAACACAGCTCTCTAAAAATCAGTGGACGAGTGCCGCAATAACTCAGCACCCATCGATCCCACAGCTCCGCTCCCCTCCCGCGCCTCCCCCGAGCCTCCCCCCCGCAGGCTGCATTGATCCGTGCATTACAAGCACAGAGGAGGTGTGCACCCGGCAGCACCAGCGACTCAACACCCACAGCCGAGTGGAGGGAGATACCGGGAACACCAGAAACCACAGGCCTGCAGGAAAACTACACAGTACTGCAGGAGTAATTCAGCTACACTGCAGGAGTACTACAGCACTACTACTCCAGGAGTACTACAGCTACCATGCCAGAGCACTACAGGAGTACTACAGCTTCACTGCAGGATACAGATCCAGCAAGTATACTACACAGTACTAGAGAAGTGCTCATTAGAATCACAGAATACTACAAAAATACAGTGTACACAGTAAATACTACACAAAATACTACAGATACTGTGAACCTGAAAAAGCTGGAGATCCAATAAAACTACAAAAACATTAAACTGCAAAAGTAAAAGAAGTGGAAAAAAACCTACTAAGAACCAGTTCTTAAAGAAAATACTACAAAAACAAAACTACAAAACCCCCAGAAGTATCAGAAAACTACAAAAATCTAAATCTGGAAAATAAAAAATAAACAAAACTGGCAAGAAATATTTAAATTTACTGATTGTGTGTTTCTTTTTAATTTCCCAGTTTACATTAAAACAGTTTAAAGTAAAAATGGATTTATCATCGAAACTAAATGCAAATAAAATAAAAAATAAACGTTAAATGTGGCACAATGAGTCAGGTGATTTGTGTATCTCAGTGGTAATCTGCTTGCAGTGCAGATGATTAGCGAGGAAGACAAGGAGGAGGAAGAACCTTTTCAGCTCTCAGGCTTTTTGTCATTCCGCTCAGCTTTCTTGCCTTTGGCCAGTTTTTCCGAGCGAAGCCGCGGGATCAAATCCTGAAGCCGCTCAAAGCTGCAGAGAGGAAGGAAGACGGGAAATCTGGGAAACACTAGGATCCCACTGCTCGTCACTCCACCTTCAGCTCAGAGGCAGCAGGAGAGGCAGAGCAGCCGGGGGAGGAAACGAGGGAATACTAACGGGAATGTTCACAGAAGAGCTGCTCTCTGATTGGCTGGCAGAGACCCATCTCCCCGTTTAGGGTGTATAAATGTGCAGGTACGCACACTGAACTTCAACCTAACCACTGGAGAGAATCCTGAAAACCCCAACAACTTCCTCAAGGACACCTCCAACCTATTTAAAAACCCTGGAACTTGCTCAAGGGACCTTTACAACTTCCTCAAGGACCACCAACTAAATAATTAAGAAGTTCTTTAATAACCCCTGGAATCTCATTAAATAGTCTTGGCCTGCTTGAGGAACATTGGAAACTCCTCAAGGTCCCTTCAACCACCTTAATAACAATTAGGAGCACTGGAACTTCTCCAAGGACCGCTGAAATCAGCTTAAGACTGCTTACTGATACCTACGACCTCCTTACAAAATCTAGATCCTTCAAGTCCCTTTAACCTCCTTAAAGACCACTGAAACCTGACCAAGGTGTCCTGGAGCATCTCCAACTGCTGGAACAGTCTTCAGACTCTGTAAAGGATGCCTAAAATCTTTTTAAACCCCATTTGTACACTCTCAAGGAACTTGTGCAACTTCCTCAAGGACTACAGACTACAGCCTTTAAAGGCTTTAGCACAACTAGAAGAAATCCTGGAACCTATCTAAGATGCCTACAACTTCCTTAAAAAGGCTAGATCTGCTCAGAAACCACTGGAAACTCATCTAGGTTCACTTCACCAGTTTGAACCCGAGAAAACTGACTCAAAGACACCTGAGACCTCGCTGCAGCCTCCTGCAGACCCCAAAGGTCCTTAAAAAGTCTCCAGGTATTCTTATGAAAACAGTAGGAGCCTTGAAGGGTTTCCAGGGGGTTTGATGGGCTTTGTTGTGTGTGGGCTCGTGAAGGAAGTGACATCAGCAGGCTGTTTTCTCTTCATTTACCTGCCGCTCGCCTGCTCGGTATCTAAAACTCAGCTCATTTTGCATTCATGAACACAACACGCTGTTGGCACACTGAGCGTGCACTGAAGCGCACACGCTTGCTCCAGCGTCTCTGAACGTGTCATGTGTAAATCAGATGAAGCGGCGACGAGCGTGCACAATGCGGCCGTCTCCCTGGCACGAGTAGCGGCGGGTAGGAGAAACTGAGCGGCGTTATGATGCGGCCACCTGTCGGGTTCAGCCTCGCGATGCCTTCGGGGACGCTCAGTTTTGTTTTTCACCCATCAATCAAGCTGGAGTCAGATGTTCCCGTTTCTTGGTTGGGATTGTGGAGGCTGGATTAAAGGAGCAGACCAGAGTTTTTACAGACCGCCGTGCGTTTTTTCAGCAGAACGACTCGTTCAGCTCATTAAACCACATCCTCACCAGCCAATGCGTGCGAACATTGCATGACAGCGAAGCAGTATCTGATTCTCAGTCTAATGAACGTCATTCCCAGTGATCAATTCGTTATTTTTTCCATAAAATACACGCTGTATACATCCCAATACCCAATTAAATGTCTTCAAATTTCAATTACAGCTCAACCAAACTCCAAAAACCCAGAAAAAAATCTAATTATGACATCGAAGAAGAGAAAAGCAGGAAATATGCACATAATGCATAAATGCCTTCAACCTCCAGCCTTTTTATATACTTTGCTGTTGTTTTTCAGGTAACTGGGGACTTTTTTCAACTCTTCAGCTCATCTGATTATGTAAAACACTTGAAGCTGATGTAAGAAAAGCTGGTGTGGCTGTTCTGTGAGCTCCTTCAGGCCTCCTCCAGCGTGTTTCTGAGGTGGAGAACATCCTCTAATGGACTCTGAGATAACAACAGGCTCTATTCACTGCACACCTCCACATAAAAGCAACGTGCCGCTCTTGTCAGTCGTATCTGTAAATGGGATCGCAGATTAGCATTGCAAAAGGAGCCGGCGGCCAGAACGTCCATTGTGAGCGTGGCCCTGCCGTCGGAGGAGGCGGCACCCCCAACAAAGACGAGTGCGAGAGGAAGGAGGTGGCGATAAACTGGTGTTAAACAGAAAACTCCAACACGCTTGCCTCTTTCACAACCCGACGCAGTGACATTTACTTATCGGGCTAAACAGCCTTCGAGCTGACCTTTCTGCTGCTTTGAATGACATCTGGATATTCTGACGGAATAATCAGCGACAGTGGAAGCACTGATCTGAGAGTCAGATATCGAGTCTTCAGACGTTTGACTGCTGACGGCTGACAAAGAGGCTGAAGGGCGCGCGGAGGAGGAGCAGAGCAGGGAGTCGTTCGGGGAAAATGTTTACCTTGCTGTCAGGACGTGGAAAAGTGTTTACAGTGACTCCTCCATGGTGAGGATCACCCCTCGAGTCTCAAGATCTGAAACCTTAAATCGCAGGTATTAACCAGTATAAACCAGCATAAACCAGTAGAACTGAGAAGGAAAGTTTGTTCACACTGAAATATGAGCGACGAGCCCAAACTTTGTAGATGTTATATAGACGTTTTATTTTGGGTGAAAGCACCACTCGGTTTCAGCCTCATCACATGACGATTTAGATCTCAGTAATGGATGGATTTATTCTCCTTTTACGGATTTAATGGTGGTGAATTTGAACTGACGGTACTTTACTATCAGTATCAAACCGTTGGATAATGATTTAAAACCTCTCTGAGGACTTCAGTGTTTAGAAAACTCCGCTTGACGACGGGGTTTGGTTTGAAAGCTTACCGGTGTACACAAAGCGTCCCGGAGCTCCTTTGCAGAACTGTTTGGACTTGTAGGACAGCGTGACCTCCACGACCCCTGGGATGTGGCGAGGGGGGGTCTGCACCCGGATGGCGTGAGGGGTGATCAGCTGAGTCAAGAGAGAAACAAAAACAGGACAAAATGTTCAAGCTGCGGTCTTTAAACCAGACAGGAATCATGAGAAAAACTTTCAAATAATCAGGACGACTTCGAAACTCCTGAAACAAAAAAACTGTCATCTTCTTCTAAGCCTGAGCAGTTTCCAAATATAAAAAAATAACACAACACAAGTTTAAAAACTCAAAGAAGACGGTAAGAAGTCGTTAAAAGATCGATAAACAAGTTTATTTGTCCCTGTGGGGAAAGTCAGCAGACATTTGTATACCCACACAAAAACAATCACATCAACATAAATCACACCATAAACAGAGACCTTCACCCTCCTCACATGTTAGGGATGATTAAGTGAGCCGCCTGAACCTGCTCGAGTTCAAACGTTTGATGGCTCGAGGCGTAAAAGACAGTCTGGACCCGTTTTTTGTGAGTAAGGGGGACAGTAGCCTCGTGCACTTTTTAGTGACTCCATACGTGGTCTGTCAGTACTCTGTAAGCTTGACGGCGCAAGCTCGGACAGCAAGACACGACAGTAAATGTCATCACAGCAAACACAGGAAGTTAGTGGGTGGTTAGTGCGTTTACAGAGTAACGTTTTATTTTTAGCAAACTTTAAAGAAATCTTAAAAGCGCTGCAAATTTGTGATTATCTCGCTGAGCTAAACAAGTCCAAGCTTTTATTTCCCACAGAGAATATTTTCTACAATAAACACAAACTCTGGAAAAATCCCACCAGCGTTTTTTTTTTCAGAGGGAACCGCATAATGTTAGGCTTCAGGCAAAAAGGAATCTAATGAAGGCCTTTAACTTTTCAGGGATATTCAGATGTTTTCTCACTGACCTGCAAAGTAAATTTTCCCTTTTTTTTAACCAAATCTCAGTCAAAGATGCGTCTTCAGCAGGTTTTTGCTGGGATGGAATTTTGCAACACATGACAGGAAATCCTCCAAAAAAGCTAATTTTCTGAGCCCCACATGTTAGAGAGTTTTTACTCAAACTACAGTAAAAATGATGGTTTTACATGTTTTTAATTTGCCCTCAGCCTGCGTCTGCAAATCCATCTCTGCATCACAAACTTCTGCTTTTCTTCTTTGGAGGTTCGGCATCACGACCTTTGATCACACCCATCAGTTCTATCATCTGTATCGTCCTCAGATTTCTCCGCCTCTTCTACACGATAAATATTGAGTTTTACAAACAGCAGCGGATGTCTGGAACGATAACCGAGGAGCAGAACGAGAGCAGCCGATTCTTCTTCCTGTTAAAACTTTCTGAGTAAGAACGCGCCGACCGCCTGACTGGGATCTGGGTCAGCATGCAGTCTGTGTTCAAGGGGATGCTGGGCTTTGGAGTCCGTCTGCTTGCCGCCACACGACGCTGATCAAAGTCAGGAGCTCCGTCGGCGTGTGGAGGTGCATCTTCCCTCCTTCCCCGCCAGGTGTTCTGCTCTTCTGGACTCGCTTCAATATTTCATGGTGCACCGTATGCGCAGCTCCTCCTGCAGCTCAGCTCGCACTGAATCTGCATATTTTTGGGGACACGCAGACCTGCTGCAGACACAGACGCAGGTGTTCCTAAGATACGAGCGTGTGTGTTTGTGTGTGTGTGTGTGTGAAAGATGAAGATGGAGAACATGATGTATGGTTTGTGCAGTTGTTCTCGGAGCACAGGTTCTGCGCCAAAGTTATTTCTTCACTGCGATCAGCCTAAAAAATGTTAGAGTGCAAAACACGGGGCCTTAAACAACCCGGTAAAGCATTTAATGTGTGATATCTGAATAAGAGTCGTCTCACCTCGCTCCAGACCAGCATCGTGCCAAAGACGACCTGCAGGCCGTCGAAGAAGTTGTCCCCGATGAGGATGACGGTGGCGCCGCCAGTCGTCCAGCCTTCGCTCGGACTGATGGCTTTGATGCAGGGAGTGGCTGCTTCGGAAACATACAAACACATGACAGCAGCATAAGTGACAGTTGGGGTCACACAGAGGTCAAGTAACAGACATCAGATCGTTTTAGAGAGCTCATTCAGCTGGTGGGACCAGCTCCACACTTCCAGTCGGTGTTCGTCCCAGACGCCATGTTCAACCAAAGTAATCACAGCAAGGCTCTCCGAGACAACCTCCAGCCAACTGGTCACCAACCAGTCTGGTTCCAGGGCTGGAGGTCTGCAGGCCTGTGTGACATAATTCATCTAAAACCTGTTAAATTTTATCTGCCAGCTTAAACACTTTGGTTCAGACGTCCATCAAATGGTGTGAGTGTGTGTTCTTCCTGGAGAAATGCCCTTTGAAACGCGCTGCTTCCTGAAAATCAGGTCAGAATTCATCCTGCATCACATGCAGACCGACGTGAGAATCATACTTTCCGCGAGCAGGAAGAGAACGACGAGTCTGATATTTTTATCGTTATTTAGATGTTTCATCTGGGGAAGGTAATGAAAAAGGCAACAAATCTTTAACAACCCTGAAGCTGTGACATTTCTTACACCCACAGAGAGCTTTCAGTCAGATTCAGTGTGTTACTCCCCCCTCTAATACAAAATGCAAAATGATTGGTTTTTCCAACGCCACAGAGATCGATAAGGTTCTCCATATAAACAGTGTCTCCGTAATGACTAGACTGGTGTCCGGACTCGAGCCGAGTCGAGTCAGACAGGCGGACGGACGCAAAGCAAACCGAGGCTCCGCAGCTTTACAACCTTTTCCCGGACCGAGAGCTGTTTTATTGGGAGGACGATCTGATATTCCAGTCAGAGCATGAACGAGTCTCTCATTGTTTATTATGTGATCTCATCTATAAAGCTGCATTCAAAGACTCGATTAAACATCCCAGTTACAATTTTCTCCATTATTATCAGCGCGGTAATGACTTTCTGCCAGCAGTTACTGGCAGCGTGAGCTCACTGAGAAAGCTCTGAGTGATTTAGATAAATCTCTTATTTTACATTTTGTTTCTACATCTGCATGAAGGCCCGACGCGAGCAGAGACATCAAGATTCTGCTGTCTTTACTGAAAACTGATAAATAAACCAACCTGTGGAAAAATTCGACATAAAACCAGCTTAAGGTGCCTCCAGATCTGACAGAGAAGCACAGAAACCACCTTAAAGGACGAACAGGTGAGGCATCTGTAATGGCTAAAACGCTAAAAACGCTGTTGGCAGGTTTAATGTCGAATGTGGCAGAAATTAAACAAATTAAAAATCATGTAAGTAAACCCATATTTCTTTTATTTTTGTCAGAAGGCTGAATAAACACTCAGTTTACACTGAGGCTTTAAAGGGTCATAAGATCATTATTTACAAATTCACCCAATGCTGAAAGATTTGATTTGATTTTAAGATGTTTTTAAAGAAGCTAAAGTGAAGGGACTCCAGAGACAAAGCTTTCGGTTTCCATCACTTAAATACTGATTATCAGGCTGGACTACACTGGATTTGAGTAATCCAGGTTGGAAGCAAACGTGTCTTTCTTAAAACAGACCAGCGCCTCCCTAAATCAGAAGGAAATGGTTCAGCTTCATCTCCAGGCAAATCTCTGGATGTGTCAAGTTTCTAAGCAGGAAGCTGAAAGACTGAACTGATATTTAAAGACGCTGCTTTGGGAACCACACTTCAGGATCCTTGTTGCCCTTCTAAGGCTGCAGCACTAACTTCTTCCAGATGAAAAGACTCGGCCTCCCCAGCCCCTGAAGCCACTGCAGAGGGCTGCGGCTGTTTGCTGCTCCGAGGACTCGATTGTCACCTCCTTATTAATTTCCCCCTTTTGTCACAGCAGTAAACAAACAGTCCAGCGGGTGTGAAGGGGGGGGTTGTGCTGGAAAGGGAACAACGGGGGGTTCAAATCAAATGAACAGAACACAAAGACGAGGAGCCGGCGGTGGAAAGTTTTATCGAGGAGACGGGAGGCTGAGAGCTGGTGACAAAGGCGGGAGCAGATGTTGGGGCTTTTTATCGTCTCTGAAAACATCCCAGGCTGGATGAGATGAAAGGCCTCGAGCTTCCCTCCGTGGGCTGAGACACAGGACCGGCTGGTAAACAACGATCCCCTTTTGGCCCCTGCAGGACGCCGTACAGTACACGCAGCATCCTCAGTGCAAACACTTGTGCTCATGAATGTTTGACTGCTGATTTGATAAACTTTCCTAAATATCCCGAGGCACTTTCACAGGTGAGGCACACAAGGATCCCAGCCTGCTGAAGGCGCTGACAGATTAGTGTCAAGAAGCGTTTGTTTTAGAGCTCTGGACGTGCCACGCGGTTGGAGACGGGCCTGCAGGACGGCACGCTCAGAAAAAGGGCAGATGCTTCTTCTTTGATCGAGTAGCCTTATCTCGACTGAAATGCCCCGAGTGTGATAAACACCACCCACCTGGTGCTGCAAGTAGGTTAAACCAAACGAGACAATTACATCACCGGCTTTTGGAAAAGTCGCAGACTTTTCCAAAGTCAGAGGAAACGGCAAAGGGAGGCATCTGAGGGGAGGACACGGTGGATGTCTGGTGCTGAATTGTTTCAGGACTCTGCTGTGTGTGCCTCGGAGGGGCGGTGTTTGGCTAAAAGTGCTGGGAGTTCATGCTGCTTTCTTGATGCCCTGTAAGATCCGCCTGCTTCCAAGTGGGTTAAAACAAGTGAAGGAACGCCATCTCTCCTGGAAACACCTCAAACTTTAACGCAAGTCAAGGGAAACTTCAGAGTGGTTTGGGAGGTGTCAGAGGACTTTTTACTGTTTAAGGAGGAAGAGCGGCGTAAGAACGCCGGCTTGTCGACTTTTCTGTCACCGACAGTCACCTGACACTTCCAGCGCCCCGTACGGTGAGCCCCACGAGTTTGGCGTTCAAAGTGAGTTTTAACAAGTGAAGGAGTTACACCATCTCTCCTGGCAAAGCCTCACATCTTTAACAGAGTCGAGGGAAACAGCAAAGTGAGGTAGTTTGATGTATGAGAGGAAACGCACTGGCTCACTGCTCTGAAAAAACCTCAGGCTTTCTGTTACCCAGACGAGTTGCCAAATGGGACAAGACAAAGTGCCTAAAGAGCTGTAGACAGTAACAGGAGGTTAATGTGAACCTGTTTAGGTTGACTTGTAGGACTTGCAGGTAACCCCACCCACCTGCTGCTCCAAGGCCTAAAACTTTAACCAGGACGACGTTAAAAGAAAAACAGGTTTTTGATTTGTTCCAACTGACTCGTGTCAAAATGCTCTGACAGAATATAACAGGATGTGATTGGTGGGCTTCCTCGGTGAGCACAAATGAAATATCTTTTACTGATTCTGCCCAGAAAACCTGCTACAGCTTTGGTTAAGCCCCTCCCTCCTGGCACTCCAAGTAGGTCGAATCAAGCGAGAGCCTTATGTCATCGGGTTTTATTAGAGTGGGGACAGGGCAAAGTGGCGTTAAAGTTTACAACTTCAGAGGATATGTTGCCGCTGAGCTCCAGCTCTCAGAGTCGAGTTTCACTGTGTGAAGTTTATACGCAGATGATGCATTTTATTTGGTCGCCTTGGAAGGTGGAAGAACGGAGCGTTTGTTCGCCGTGCCCCGGAGGAACGCAACGTCCAGCAGGACACTGAGCCGGCAGAGAGTTTCATACAGGCCTGACGTTTCACTTAATAAACAACAACCAAACGTAAGCAGGAAGACCAGATTAACCTGTGAGCTGCTTATCCTCTCACCTTGTTCCAAAGAGCCAGAAACCTGCAGTCTGCTGGAGAAACCGATCCCAACCTCAGAGTTTTTTGTACTTTTTTAACAGCTGCAGTCTATTACTGACTAAACACAACTGCAGCTGAACCTTCTACACATCTTCTGATCGACATGACCGACAGAATGAGTCCTACGAGTCCTACAAACCTCTGACAAAAGCTTATGATTCTGTCTTTATTCTACCTCAACAAAAAAATCCAAACCAGAACTTTGCACCCTGCTCAATAATTTGATCTGTTTGAGTCACATCTTACCTTCAGAGGGGTCCAGTCGTCGGGCTCGGCGGCCATGTTTGGAGTTGTTGTGGACGAACATGTTGTCTGACACGGCCAGCACGTGACCATCCACGTTGACTGTAGTGGACACCACCACCTGTTGTGGACACAGCCCTCAGGGTTATTTCGGATTTTTAATTTTTCATGAAAGATAACTGCTTCCCTGCTGGACTTTTACCTGGAACCTCCTCATGTCTCTCGGGTTTCCTGCATTTTTCAAACAGTTCTGATTGCACTTGAGGAAGAACTTCAGGAAGAATCTGAAAGATGTGTAGACAAAACAGAAAAAAAAAAGAGAAATACGATTAGTTTCATTTGAACTGCTGCTCAAAATGGACGAGAACCAGAACACAGGCACAGTTTGAGAATCAGAGGAAGCCGGGCTCAGTTACTCTGCAGGACGCTCATTTGCATCAGGAGGAGTTTTACCAGCGTCAGTCCAAATAAACTTATATGGCTACGTAAAAGGTTAAACTGCATGCAGAAGCTAAAATCACACACATTTATTTAACAACCGCACAGATTTGCTACATCTTCCTGTGAAAGGCTGAGAGGACGGAGCCTGTCTCAGGGCTGAATGTGTTGCTGTTTCTTCGTGTCGGGTCACATATCGCCTCTTTATCTGAGCAGCAGATAAAATTACAATTCTGCAGCAGAGTCTTGATAAAGGCGGTCGACACTTCCTGCAGACTTATGGCGTCTCATTAGGGCCCGCCTTTTGATTTTCCTTCCTGCGCGCCCGATCTCTCGCTCGCCGCGCGTTGATTTACGGCGATTTTTACGGCAGCAGAGGAGTATTGATTGGAAATGGATATCAATGAGGATGGGCGGTAATAACCAGCAGCTTTGGAGGAGGACGGTGAAGGGAGGGGGAGGGGGGGTCAGAATGGATTGCCACCTTAATGCATTTCCCACTGCCTTGTAATCTGTGCACATCCATCTCTCGGACCATAAGCCCCTCCACCCCGTTCTCATGGTGCGCTTCCTTTTTAATTGCCACATTATCACAATAATAATCCGGGCAGTTAACAAGCGGCAAGGTCGCAGACAGACATGTCACATTAACCAGGGGATAACCTCGGCAGAATACCCACACCCCATCTTTTTCACCTCCTCCTCCTTATTCTGCTGCCTTAGCAAAGCATGCTGGGAGTGCATGAGGAGCTGTGGGGGTGCGGGAGTGGGGGCTGTGCGAGGTCGGCATCGATTTCCACCTTAATAAGACAGTAACAATATCTTTAAAAACACACAGCGGGCGCTCAGCCTGTTTCACTGTTCTGTGCAGTCTGACGGCGTTTTTACACTTCTAATCAAATTTGGACCAAAAACGTTGTTTAGCTGCTCGTTAATGATGGAACTAAGACACATTTGATAACTTTATCAGTGGATGTATGCTAGAGGCTGTTTGTACTCGCAGGACTTCCACCTTAACTCCTGATTCTCGATAATTATGTTTTTACACCGTAAACACTCTTAAACTCGACCCCTTTTCATTAAACTCTTTCATGTTTTTACAACTTAAAACAGCCGTTTCACCCAGAGGGGACTTCTTCTTCCCCCTCATCCGGTTTATTTCAAAAGCTTTGTCCTTTTTTATTTACTTTATAACGGCCCCCATTAGAGACATAGAAACTGAACAAGATCCCGAATCCGAGCGGAGACGAGCGCCGCGGCAGCTGCACCGTAACAGCTCGTAATGACATAAGATTCCAACATAAACTTTGATTACTGAAGCACACACTCTTTAACCATCGCTCCTTTTATTCATTTCTACCTGTGTTCACAAACCCTGTAAAAACATGCCACACATTTATGCGCAACAAGTCAGATTTTTATAAATAAATGGGCTGTGTGCTCCTTTAAACGTGCTTCAAATTCTTTTAAAATTGAGGTGTTTCTCAAAGATATTTCAAAGCTTCGAGATTGGATTTAAAATCTGTTCACCATAGAGATATATAACATCCGTATGTTCCTCATATAAATTATTTGTGTCCCTAGATTTAACAGACAAATTATAGTTCTGTAAGAAAGCAAAGGCCCGTTTCCTCTTGTTGTAAACACAGTTGTGCGCATGTTGCAGAAGGATTTCACACGGCTGCTTGCTGCCTGCACGCTGTCCTAAAGCAGTGTTTGGGTACTTGATCTTCATCAGGAAGTGGCTGCACTCCTGCAGCCAATCACATTCCTCAGATGCCATCCAAGGTCTGAACAGCAAATATCATTTAGGTGTAGATAATAAATAAAGTCAGAAATAGAAACACTTTACATGGAAACAATCAAATGTAATCCTCAAAATTTTGGGGTGAACTAAGCCTTTCAAAGAGACACAGCGAGGAGGCAGAGGGAGGCGGCGAGCTGTGTGTGTGTGTGTGTGTGTGTGTGTGTGTGTATTGACTGAAAGCTGATCTGCTGCTCTGGAGGCTCTAATGCCCTTTATGGCAGTGAACAGAATAATATGGAGCTCCATTCAGATGATACTGAGTCCTTCAGAGAGCTGATATGGATCGATACGGATTGAATTAAAACGCAGCTGGAGACAAGACCAGGGGCACACACACACACACACACACACACACACACACACACACACACACACACACACACACTCACCCAATATACACAATGGAATACACACAATCATACAGTATATACTGTGTACACACCAACAATATTCCAGTGCAGGCACATCTAATTTCAACCACACTGGCACTTAAAGCACACACACACACACACACACACACACACACACACACACACACACACACACATTTTTTTAAATATCTGCACATGTCGACATACTGCACCCACTATTTTTGTGTAGAATCAGAACAAAGGAAGGAGTCCAAACGTAAACGTAGAACGGCCACAACATTAAAACCACTGACAGCTCGGGCATCTGGTTACAGGTCAGCGTTCTGCTGATGATGATACCCCCAACCACCACCCTCGCTGTTCTCCACCAGTGAATCAACCCGCCCCACATCATAAAAGCTGCTGAGGAACCTCCCAGACCCTGACCGGATCCCCACAGGTGGACCGGCACGATCCCAGCCAGGTGTTTGAATTCTGGGAGCGGTTCTGCAGACAGGTGTGGCTAATTGACCCTCACCGGGGTGGAGGCGCTGAAAGCTCTGTGGCTCTGAAAAGTACAGTGGCCCACCGGTGGTTTAACCCACCAGGTTATATCATCAGTGCCCAACAGTACGGTGTGGAAGGGTGGCTGTGCATACTATTTAATGTGTAAATCTGACCGGCAAGTGAAAGTAAAACGGAAAGAAACAGGGCTAATGAACCTCTTATGACACAGCTGCAGCGTATCGGCCTCTGAAACAGAGCCATGATCTCTTGGTGGACTCTGCTTCTGCAGGTCGTATCCAAGTTACACCAAAAGCACCTCGCATGTGGACATCACAGGCTTCTAGTTGCAGTCCTCTCCCAGTTTGACCAGCAGCCTCCCCGAGCTGTCGAGAGGGAGCTGCCCTTAAACGGCCCTAAAGAAGCCCCACAGGGCAGGTCCTGCAGTCGGAGCACACATAGACATGATAAAACTGACCTCGAGTTCCTACAGTGGAAAACAGCCCGCTGTTACCTGCTTCCTGATTGGCAGTTAACCAGGCTGATATTCGCAGTACTCGAGTATTATAACCTGACATGGAGGAAGCAGTTTTCACCTGGATCGCTTCCTTTTTTTTTTCCCACTGAAACCAGATGAAAGTCTGAGGATTAGGTCGACAGCACTGCAGGTGAGAGGACGAGGAGACAGTGAAGGAGCGCCGCTCTCCTCCCTGAAAACGTATTAAAACACAATAAATAATGAAGCGAAGCGTGCAGGCGGAGCTCCGTCATTAGCCCGCCCGACTCCTTCTTCTACTCCTTCTTCTCGGGCTCTTAAAAAGGAGGTAAAGATAATGAGAGAGACGGAGTCTGCTGGTGTAAGCTGTCACCTCATTACACCGACCGACAATCAATTATAGCAGGACGGAGAGCGGAGCGTAATGCAGCTCTGAAATCAGTGCTGCCCTTCAGGAGAGCACAGCCTGGCAGGCGGCGTGGAGGGAATACACAGCAGCAGTTGTGTTCAACATGATATTAAAGTCAAAAAAGATTTCCCCTCCTAGGAACTAAAGCTAAATCACAAACCTGGTTCTCCCCTGTGGGAATATTAAACACCATCCACCAGACCGTTCCCATTATTCCCGTCACACGGAGCGGCAGCACCCGGGAAACACGCGGCTTTAAAGTGGACGTCAGGTTACATCAGTGTGGATTCAGGTGGACGGGTAACAAAATATATATAAAGGTTTCTGTGTCCTTCCCACCTGCTGCTTGAACCTTCTGTTTGAGAGGGGCAGCGAATCAGAAGAAAGCTGTTAAAAGGGCAGTTTTTTTTTCTCACTTTGTGGTCTTTAAAACCATGTCGTGTCCTTTGGGCTCCTTTTTTGTCTCTTTGAAGCCAATTTACGTCTTTAAAGTCGGCCTGTGTGTGTCATTGTGGTCGTTTTGTTTGTCTTAAGTAATTTTGTGTCCTTTAAATTTTCTTTTTGATCCCGTTTTCTCTCTTTGTGGTTGTTTTGTGTCCTTTGGGATTTTGCCTCATTTAGTTTCTCTCTACAGTTATTTCAAGTCTATTTGAAGGCTTTCATTGACCTTGTGTCTTTCCGTAAAGTCCTTTTTTGTGTCATTTTGAAGTCGTTTTATCTCTCTCTGCATTATTTCTTGTAGTTTTGTGTTTCTCCATCTCGATTTCTGGTTATTATTCAATTCTGTTTCATTGCTTTGGTTCTAATTGCTCTTGTTTTCATCTCGTTGAATCCATTTTACAGTTCAGCGCCGTTGTTTTGTGCGTCGTTGTCGTCTTTGTAGTAATTTTTCTCTTTTTAAAGCCATTTTGTGGTTCTCCGCGGTTGTTTGATGACCTTCTGTATCTCGGTTTATATATATACATTCTGTTTTTGGTCACTTATTCATTAGTTTCTGGTTATTTCTAGTCATTTTCAGTCATCCCTGGGTGACCTCTGACCTCTAGGCCCTCGATGTTTATGTGGTAGCTGCAGAAAGTCCTGAAACCTTCCTGTGAGTGGTCAATCGCTGCTGAGGCCTTTAATTCTGAATGGAAGAAGGAAAGTGACCGCGGCTGGTGTAATTGTTCCAGTGGAGCGCCTTTAAAGCTAAATTAGCTCACATCAGGGGGGGGCGTCGGTCTGACTTCAGCATTTTCGCCGGCTACTCTAGATGATGTCAACCCCGACCACACCCAGTG